CTCAACCGTGAAGGATGTCCGGAAAGCAGCAGCCGACATCATGGGCTGCGAGAAGTCCTGCGTGCTTCTGGCTGCTCTGTGGGAGTTGGCCCGGCAAACCCTAAACGCCCGAGTGTGAGCGCCGGTAACCCTAATTCAGGGGTCGGAATAAATACCGATACTACTCCACTAGACTACTCCTCAGGCTTCTTGATTATGGCTACGTGGTTATTCTGATTTAATTACGTATGCAGGCCCCTATGTGACATGGATTAGGGCCTCGTCCGACGACGTAGGTGCGTAGGTATCCTGGGAGAGCAGCAGAGTGGAGCATGCGTTTGAGATTTCGGCGTTGACTGCGGAGCCCTAATTGCCCTAGAACATCTCGAAGCCCTATTCCAGCTATCCTCCGGCTTTCGGCATGCCGGTGATTGTTTACCCAGCTGCATCACGTCATACACTACTGAGGGGTTGTAGGCTTGAGCACTAGCCAGCAAGCCCGGTTTCAAGAAAGGGTTGAGGGTAAAGCTTCCGGTTCAAAGGGGTGACATTGTCGTAGTTTCACAGCGCCAAGCAGGTTTTTTCAGTGGCAGGAATTTGTCGAAGGTGAGCTATGACTGGCAGCAGCAAGATTGGGGCAGAAGGGCCCCGTCTACTGAGATAGATAACACTGCTTGCGTCGGTAGTGAAGATCTCTCCAAGCCTTGTTTCAGCTCTCTTTGGGCTTCGAGCCTGGCAAGGCAAGTCAGGAAACCTGAATCCTGCGATGGTTTAGTGACCTGCCACATACGGGTGGCAGGGCATCAGCATGAAGCTCTCTCTAGTTCGTTTCTGGCTGCCAGCCGTTCTCATGATGCATGAAGCTGAGGTTGCATCTGGCGGCACCGATTGCCTGCCTGATTCGCAGCTGCTGCAATCACTCAAATGCACGACGCTGACGCTTGGGGCAAGTCATTATAATCAAAAGGTCCCAGGCAAGGTGCAGTCTTCGCAGACTTGGCCTAAGCGGCACAGCTGTGCTTGGCACCAAGCGACCGAGGACTGTCATAAACCAGTCTTTCGACCCATCGCTCTTGAGCTGCCCGGCGTCAGAGAGGGTTCGAAGTTGGAAGAGCAGCGTAGCATAGGCATAGGCCTATTTGCAGCAATGGGCGAGTACTTTGTTCTAGCCTACATCCTGCAAGCCAGCTCAGGATTGGATGAACAAGAATCCAAAAGGCACCGTCGGCTCGCATAACATGAAATACGAGCTATTGGCAGCCGCACACCCTCCCCCCGCTTGTTCTCCTCAGCCATGGGCATATCCAGTCATGATCTGCATGCCCAGCTGCATCAGTGCCGAAGATCTTGCTGGCCACCATGAGGATATAGGCTGTTATCTGTTGCTCTGCTTCTTCTCAGCACCACCGTCAAGGCGTCATTGAAGTCCTCGTGATCATTCCTCTGTTCCCTCTCCCGTTCTTCTCGTGCGGTGCAGCGAAGAGACGTCCTTCTACTGGCAGGAAGGCCAACGACTATTCCACGACTTTCTTTAAGACAACGAAACTGCTGTATGACGGCTCCTTGGCATCTTCAGGTACCGCAGCACGTCATGCCAGGCTACCACAGTCGTAGCCCAGGCCTCTCACCCGAAACCCGCAAACAGTTCTGTGAAGCTGAGATAAAGTCATTTGGGAACGCTCCGACCGGCAGTTTTGCGACGACGGGGGCTTCAGAGGCCGAACTGGTCTGGGATATCAGGGTACGGGTATAAATAGGGCTTGGGCTTTAGAAATATGAGGTTTAGGATGGCTTAGGGCTTTTTGGTTTGTGGTTTAAGGATTTTGGTCCTGGTGTGGGGTTTGGATCCAGCAGCTCGGAGGCTTCAGAAAAGTCTCCAGTCCCAAGCGCTTTTAAGTACAGTTTGCTGGGTTCAGGACTGATCAGGAGCCTTGTTACTCTCATAGCTCATTGTCATAGTATGATATGCTCATAGCATGCTATGTTATAGTCTAATATAATATAATATGATACTCTGTTGTGTCTTTCAATATGTCAGAATCCAACCTGTAGTTTGGGACAAAGTTTCTGGCCCATGAGAGGTCGAACACACGACGTCTATCTCTCGGAATGTCGCAAGCTTCTCTTCTGCCGTGCAGGCCCTTTTGCTGACGCAGGGGTCGGGATGGCAGGGATTGGCAACGAAGTTCATGGGAGTTTTCGATGGTGACCAGTACTGCCATTCCAAAGACTCTCCAAGAGTGCGGATTGAGAGCTCGAAGTTGAGAAGCTATTCACCAAGCCCAGTAATTAGCGCGGCATATCTGTCCGTGACCGTGACTACAAGGAATCTTGCGGAGAAGTGGGGTGCCGGAGTACGAGCCGCCAGCGCCTAGGCTTGAGGTGTAGTGTTGAAGCCTGCGTGTAGAGTGGGACAAAGCCCAAGGTAGGTCAGGGCCCCTCGTTTGAGCTCACTGCATTCCTTGTGGCAGTTTGTGAAAAAGGCTGCTCTATACCAAATTTCGCAGTGTGTAGCCCAAAAGTTTGGACCCTGCATGGGGCGACCATTCAGACCCCCTTTCCCCCCACAGAGCCCAGGAACCCATACATGTGCAACAGCTCCTTCGCAAGAAGGGCTTGCGATGATTGTCGATGCTGGGCCTCCTCGGCGTCTGCCGCGAATGCGAATGTCTCTGAGTGTTCTCAGAAGGGGACCGTAAGGCCGCGGCTTAGCAGTCGAGAGTGCAGACATGTCATGGCAGGCAGTACAATGCAGTACATAACAGAATCAGCAGGCTATGTGCTTACATATACAGGAGTTCAGCTTCGTGCCTTCGGCCGCAGGCCATGGCACCCGCAACAGCAAATAGTCTGAAGTTGTCTGCTCGACAGCATGATAGCATGCAGCTCAAAAAGGCATCTTTTGGCTGCAGCTGACATGGCGGAAACCGTGCAAAATCGCAGTGCGCATGAAAGCTTCTCTGCTTGGCCGAGATCCGTATCAAGACGGTGGTCGAGAAGATCCTGTGAAGGACGGGCTGCAGAGATGCCGGAGACATGGGACGGAGGGCAAGGATCAGCATGCAGTCTGTTTCAACCGGAACTCGTACTTGACGCCCTGCAAGCAACCACTGAGGCGTTCAAAGCCACCAACACGACTCCGACATTCACGATGAGAACGATCAACAATCAATACCATCACGGCCATCGCCGTTGCTGTCTCAACATCCCTTTCATCATCATTTTGACGGTCGTCACCACCAAAATCAGTATCATCACTACACACCCCGCCTGCAAGCCCGTCAGCATACAAGCGGAAGCACCGCACACCTTTACAACCATGGCAAACACCATTAAAACTATCATGCCCGCCATCATCATCGTAATGAAACTTTGGTACCTGGCCAATAATCACCATCTTGCCCTAATTGTCTTCACCATTTTGATGCTTACGATTGCCAGACCATCAACATACGTAACATGACCCCTACCGGCCTCATTCATCCGCTTCCATGCATCAGGCCACGGCGCGCCGGGAGAACTATGCAAGGGCAGCGAGCTTACGTGGACTTAGATTGCACGCCCTTGGCACGCGCGGCGTTGAAAAGTAATGCGATGGTTTCTGTTGTAGTCTGGTGGCACTTCTGAACAGCTCGGATTTGCGCATAGATCCTCACAAACTACTTTAGGAGTCGGAAGAACGGCCAATAGGATCCCTTCATCACTATACTGTAATGGCCCTCCATAAAGCCATAGTCCAATCATCAAAGCCCCTAGATTGTCTGCCCCTTGCTGACTTAGCAAGGCTCTGGAGAAGGCGAAGGAAGCTGTGGCCTTGTCACCCTCGGATCCTTTGAACTGGGAGACGCTCCTTGGCGCCGGCCAATTCGATTTTTCTTTGTTCAGGGTTTAAGACTCCGAGACCCTGCACGCGCTCGGCAATCTTGTGACAAAGCTCTGAAGCACCACATGTTCCTTTCTATTCCGGAGGAATTTGGTAGATCCTTGAATCACCGACGGTTTCACGGTTTCAACAACTCTGCCCAGCAAGGCCCCTTGTATCCCTGCGGTTCAGATGGCAAGCACGGGTAGCGATGCCAAGAACGGATAATATATTTATTGTAGCTGCGGCAAAGGGGTGCAGAGGTTCCGTAGCAGAGCTTGGCAATCACCGTCCCTCGCGGCGGTCATACAGATTTGATAACAGCATGCACTTAGTTGAGATGTTTTGTGCCACTTAGGCTCGCTAAGCGTACGCTACATCAGCACGGGCTACAGCTCAAGGGAAGGACTTTCAACGGTCCTATGGACTTCGTAGGTAGCAATATCAAAACACCGTAAACCCATCTAAACCCAGTCAAGAAAATCCTACATCCTTGAAACAAAAACGCACCTAAGCCCCAAACCTCAAACCGTAAGGAGGCATAAAAACCCCGCAATGCAGACTCGTCCTTGCTAAGTAGGAGGGCGAAAAACCTTAAACCCTGAACCGTGGGATCATTGTAGACTCGTTGTGTCACGCCGACTTCTGCACCTATGAATCCTCGCCTGGCTTGTCCGAGATGTGAGAGTGTAAACCGCGGGACAAGCCCAGGCTCGGAAACGCGTACGCCGGGCTCTGAGACTGCCGGGCTCCCCCGCTCTGACCCTCGATCGGGCCTTCCGTTTTCGCGGTCAAGATGGGGGAAATATGCAGGATTATATCACATAGTATAACACATAACATAAAAATTAACATGAATAGTTAACTACTATAGATGATACAATGGGGGAATGTCTTCCGTTGTCAGTGGGGGTCCGCCAGCAGTGAATACAATCAAGAAGGCACCGTCACCACACCTATGACAGCCCGTGTTCGCACAAAGGTTGGCAATTTCTTCGTCAACGCAAAGAGACCTGATGAGATCAAGAGGTGGCCAAGTTACTGAGGGCATGTGTATTTCGTGCTCACATGTGCTTCGACTCACAACTCGTCTCCCCTGTAGCCGCGGCCCAGTCGCACTTCGTTGCCTGCAGGGCCTTGATCGCTTACGAAAAGGGCGATGCAGCCTACAAAAAGTTGGGGCCGCAGAACTTCTGATTCGCAACTGCAAATGTCAGTGTCGCTGCAGTAGGCGGTGGGTAGGGTCTAGGACTCTGGGATCCTTCCTTGTCATTGTAGGACTAGCGCCATGAGACAAAGAATTCATAGTGTGGTGCAGGGCCTCCTCGACTCGAGGTTGGGTAAGCGCAACCCCACGCTCCACTTCAACCGGGGCATGGCCGCAAAATACGTCGAGGCAGGGCAAACTCTTCATACTTACAATTCAGGTTGGCCGTTGCTTGAAAGCAATTTCCCTGTCTTGCCAACTTGGGGTATATTCGGGTAAGTATTCCATCCTGCCACTACAGGATTACGACCTGGCATCAAGATCCTTGGCCACGGCGCACGAGCCTGGACCTAAGAGCTGTGGGGGGGGGGTGCTTTTGGTCCCATGGCCACTGCCATCAGCACCGGTAGTCATCACTCGCGTTTCGAAAGTCTTCGATGCTTGAATCCGGACATCGTGGAAGCCCGCCCGACTGTATGCCTTCGCTTTATCGGGGTGGAAGTCTTGCGGTTTGGAATGCCTGACTAAGACACTCAAACCCAAACCCTAAAATGCCGGGCCAAGGACTCGATTATAGAGGCCTTAATAATTACCTATACTAGTTTGGGGGTTCCTTATTATGATTGTGATTATTGTTATTATTATCATTATTATGAGAACCCCATTCTAATTATTAAGGCCCCCACAGCCCCTATCGAGCCAGAGTCAGGATTGGCGCAGCAGGTGCTGCGGAGGAGCGCTTGAAGGCCGAAGGAATAATGACAGCTCAGTTTTTCTACAATGCTGTAAATCCGAATTTCTATCGGGCTTTATGAGTTAGGGGTTTAGGGTTTAGGGTTTAAGGATTTATGATGTATATTATGATGGCATCAAAACTTGAGAAAGTGGTAATGTTGGCCATCTGGGTTCCCCGAAGAAAGAAACATGCCTCCGGAGCCTCGAAGCGTGAAGAGCCACGAGAAAGAAAAGACCAATATTCTTGGGCAGGTGCAAGGCCACAGAGCAGCTGTCGTCGGCATAAGAATAGTTTAGTTTAGTGGTGATAGTGGTAGTGGTAGTGACACTAATTAGTTGTGGCGCTAGCCGTAGCCCGTAGCTACGGCAACAGTGGCAGCAGCAGCAGCAGGAGTAGGAGTTGCAGTCGGCGTAGCATTAGCAGTTTGAGCTGGAGCTGGAGCAGGGGTAGGTCGGTGCAGGAGTGGGAGGAGTAGTAGCAGCAACAGAAGCGGCACTAGTGGTGGTAGTAATAGCAATAATGGTGGCAGTAGCCGTAGTCGTAGTCGTACGACCAGTAGTAGAGCCTTAGTAGAGCAGTGGTAAAGGTGGTAGTCTTCGAGCAGCAGAAGTCTTAATCGCAGTGGTGGGGGGAAGAGCTCTCACTGTGGCATTTCGGCGTCTTATCAGTCATGAAGGATATGGTGCAGATCATGACTTGACAACCTCAGCGGCACCTGCTGCCTCCAAACACTCCTTAATGGTTTGTTTGCAACATTATTGGTCTTGTACGGTGTTCGCTTCTAGGTGCTGGCTTCTACAATCGCAATTGTGTGTGTGTGTGTGGTCCAGTTGCCGGCGGTTGACGCGAGGATTTTTTGCGCCTCTCATGCTTTCATTTCCAGCCTGCCCCCAGCCATGTGTGATTCATGACAGCATTTCAGCAAAGCAAAGCCGGCCGCTAGGTGCTGGCTCTCGTCGACAGCTTGAAGGACTGGGGTGCTGCCTTCGTTTAGACATCGTGCTGCGCGCTCATCCTCCAACTTGGCTATTCGATGGCAGGTCATCCGAATGCGAGGCTTAAACTTGGCCTGGCCCAACAGCGTCCAAACCGCCGAGCCTCCCTTTTGAATTGAACGAAACGCTGAACTCTGAAGCCTGTTGGCACCCGTTGTCCTCAAAGAGCTGGTGCGGAAGACACTGAGAGCCCCCGCGGTTCGGGGGATAAATCCCGAGACCACACCCCACACTTGGCCCCACAGCCCACCAGTTGCGGAAGGAGCACTTGCACAAGAAGTCCGACAAGACGAAGAAGCTGAAGGACCGTGGGCAGATGTGTAGCGTCCCTGGCCACTCCATACTTCGGAATTTCTTCTTGGAGGGGGTAACTGTATGAAGCGGGTTTCTGTTTGGATTGATGCTCGGTTGCACCGGGCTCTATCTCCAAATGCTGTCAATCGATATTCTCTGTGGTTTCACCCTGCCGACTACCGATGCATGCCTTGCCTGGATTGTCCGAGTTGTGAACGCGAACCGTTCTGCCCCCAAACCGTAATTTAGTCGCTTGAATAATTACCAATGCTATTGCAGGGTTCCTTACTATAACTGTGGTATAATTACTATATCCAAAAACTCCCTGTTCTAATTATTGAGGCCGATATGCATTCGTGTGTGCGTGTGTGTGTGTGTGTGTGTGTGCGCGCAGGACCTGAGCCCGGCCTTCCCAGACAACTCGGCGTCGCTCGGCAAGAGCCCAGGTAGGGTGTAGGTGTAGGGCCTAGTTAAGGGTTAAGGATTTAATTAGGGTTTAGGGTTTAGTGTTCAGTTCAGGGTTTAGGGCCTCAAGGACAGAGGGAGCTCCCGGGCGACGAGGCAAGCCCGCTGCAACAAGGCTTTGAGGGTTGAAGGCACCCATTCTTCAGGATTCAGGGAGTTCCGGAAATCTTCCCATGGGTAGGAGCAATGCGTATCGCAGGCTTGTTTTGTACTTCTGGCGAGCCTTGGTGTTATCCCGATTGGAAGTCGAATCCCAGACGCCTCTTCGGGGCCCGTCTCCGGAAGCCAAGCTCTCGGTCCCCATGAGGACACACCGAAAGAAACAACAACCTTCTCTGCGACTGCGCTCGGTAGACGAGTTATGAGAGTGTCACAACCCCCCGTTTGGCGTCTGTCGGTACATTGCCCCCCGCTCAAGGTACAGCACCATCAAAGCTGAGATCTCAGCTTTTTGGCTGCTGCGGGGATGCACACAGACGGTCGGAGGAGTGATGGCTTCAGATCCGATGGAGATCTGAGGGCAATGCCCGGCTGCAAGCCTTTGGCTCAAGTTCTACCTCTTTCCAGGTTTTCTCTCAGCATTGCTGAGTTTTCTTGAACTTTTCCGAATACCACATGGCCGAGGATGGGGCTCAGTGGTATAGCTTCCATGGACTACAATACGGGCCTGACCATTTGTCAGTAGGATTCCGTAGACTTATACTTATACTGTATAGCTGCATTGTGACATGCCCCAAAACTCCGTTCTAGCTATTCAGGCTTCTATGTTACCGCAGTTCATTCGGAGCAGTATGGCGAGCTTCGGGTTGTAGTCCGGTGCAGCTTAGTGCATTGCAGTCCCTGCTCAAAAAAAGTCCGGTGCAGGAGGAAGCTGCGCACGAGGATCCGGAGCATACGACAGCCCCCGGACTGAACCCAAGAAGCACTCTCCTGTAAGACTTTTTGTTCTTTTGTCGAACCCTGTACAGTACAGTAAAGGATAAAAGAACCTTTGCGGGCGACCCCTGCCAGTCTTCGGCGATTATGTGTTTCTCGTCTCGTTCCTTCCTCCACTTTGTATTGGAATCCTTCGTGTCCCTGTGTGGTGTGTGTGTGTGTGTGTGTTGGCGAGGCCTATGCACTGAAGTCCTTTAGCAAAGTGGCTGTGGCGTTTGAAAATGTTTGTAGGTAGGTAGGCATGTATGTACACACGCATGTATAAACATACTTATATGTATAGATAAGATAGTTTCACATAGCCTTGATATAAGATAGGGTAATACAATACGAATAGTGTATCATAACACAACAAAAGGTGAGATAAGATGGTATAGCCAGTATGTATGTATGTATGTATGTATGTATGTATGTATGTATGTATGTGTATATATATATATGAATGAGTTAGTATATAAACACAATATACGGCAATATCGCATAATATAATGTAAGACAGAGTAAGGGCCAACGTGCTCTGCCGTCGGAAACTAGGATTCACCCTAACCCTCGCCTGCAGCGTCGAGTGCGAGTGCTACAATAGACAAGGTAAGGTAAGATAGGATAGAACAAGATAAAACAATATAACTACATTGCATGTAATGTAGACTATCTATCTTTACATCTCTCTCTCTCTCTATATATATATATATGTAAATATGTATAGAGAGGCTACTCAGAAAGTATTTCTAAGACACATCCGAGTACTTCTAAGAACGGCCCACGTTCCCGAAGGACGAGCAGCCCCCTCAAAATCCCTCGATTCTCTTCGAACCTCGGACCTGGGACCTTCGGAAGCTCAGAGCTCAAAGGGCCCGGAAGCCTTGGGTTCCAAAACACGGTCGTCATTTTTAGGGTTTAGGGTTCTAGGGTTTAGGGTTCAGGGCTTAGTGCATTGCAGTCCCTGCTCAAAAAGGGTTTAGGGTTTTAATGGCTAGGTCCAAGATCTTCAGGGGGGTCCTAGAGTTTACGTGGTGTGGAGCATGGAAGCTCCATGGAACCTCACTCCGCGCCCATCCTCCTCTGCACGATATGGGGGTTTCCGAAAATAGGGGACCCTAGTATAGCACCCTAAATAGTAGGATCCTTATTATAAGGACCCCAAAATAAGGACCCCTTGTTTTCGGAAACTCCCATATGCCAAGGAAGAAGTGAAGCAAGACCACGGCGAATGCCTCGGAGTCAGGGTGGGATTTCCGAAGTTTCCTGGGATGGCAGGCCTGGGCCGAACCTATGGGCCCAACGCTGACCTCATGTCCTCATACTTTAGGGTTTCGGGTTTATGGTACTTTAAGGCGTTTGTGATACTGAACCAGCTTTGGCGATGTATCTTTCGCTCAGGTTTTCGCCCGGCATGCCGGGCAGAGGGTCTACCTGGCATCGTGCCTCCAGCCTGGCTCCTAGCATGGTGCTGCTGTGTCTTAAACTGCGCAGCTGGCTGCAAAGCCGCTACCTGGAGCACTACGCATGAGATCCACATTGTACTGCAGTCTGCATGGGACTACCCGTTGCAGCTGGTTGAGACGCCGCTGAACGGTGTCAGCTCAAGTCGTCATGTACCTCGGCTCCGTGTCCAAGTGCGAAAGAAGAACAGCCGCCAGGTTAAGGCTGATCAGCTGGACCAAAGCTCGCAACTTCCAACCAGCTCCTTCGCTCCCTATCTCTTTTAGGTCCAGAAGCCGAACTCTGTGACCCTAAGCTCTCGACCCTCTGCCCCCAAATTATCGCCGAGGCTGCACAAGAAATCCACGAGGCCGCCCTGGATACGACGTGCCAGGAGGGTTCACCCGAGACCCGCCCCGAGTTTCGGAAGGCTCAGGCGTAAGCCCAAAGGGTAGACATCCTTAGTTTCCCGGCATCTTCATGTGATGCTTCTGAGCTGCGCACTCCGCGGGGTCCGCTCCTAGGGTGGTAGGTGTGTACCGCTCCACAATCTGCGGTGAGA